AAGTTTCATTTGAAAAAAGTGCTATTAAAGATTGAAGACACGGGAACATTTTAAGGTTTTGCTCAATCACAAAGAAGCATTAAGAAAATTATTTATAGATTTTTGATTTATTTTGTTTATTTTTATTATTAATTTATAAATAATTTTATTAGGGTAAAATTAAAAATTAAATAACTTAATTATTTTTATAATTTATTAATGATTAATTGATTCATCATTAGCGATGGCTGTGGTTATGAAGGCATGACATTGTCAAAAAGCTCCAGTTTGATTAATGCAGCTGGACAAAAAATAAAAATATTATACAAATTATACAAATTAAGTAACTTTATGGATAACTTTTGTAAATCAACAACAACAACTTAATTCGGATCAGCAGTTAATAACAAATTAACTCATACCGTGTGTATAGGCCAACATTCTCAGTTAAATATTACTTTTTTATTGCAGTTAAAATATTGCAAATAAGTTTTTTGTTGTTTTTATTAATATTTTGATAAAAAAATATTTATTTATATATTTATATTGATATGCAACATCATTTTACAAAAACAGCTGTTAATGCTGAAATTGTACACCACTCCTCATTGTCATTAATTTACTTCGCTCGTATTTTTATCGCAAAAAAAGACAAAAAATAAACAAAATTTAGTAAAATTATTTTTAGCTTTATACGCAATGCATTAATAAATATAAACAAACACACAGAGCCAATGCAGCAGCAACAACAACAACTGAAATATTAATAAATTATATTGCCATTGAATTTATGTGTTACAAATTAATTTGATGACTAATTAAATGGCAAAAAAAACAAAAATTGGAGCACTTGATGCTATAAAATTATAAAAATTTTAATAATTATATCATACAAATGTATACATATTATTTTTTTTTAAATTAATTTTTGTGTGATCTTTTTTTAGCACAACCCGCAGAACCAACAAAGCGTTCTCTCCGTGTTCAAACCTGGAAGAAATTCAGTGAGAACAAGTGTGGTGTACGTTATAGCGCTATTTTCAATTCTATTCCCAATTTTCTGCAAAGCGATAAGGCTGCCACACTTTTGACTGAGACTGACGATTTTAAAAATGCTCGTAAGTATTAAAATAAAGTAATATGCATAAAATGTTGATAAAATTATAACCATTATTTTTTTTTCTTTGAAAATATAGAGAATATCCAAGTCAACATGGATCGCTCTTTACATGCTGTCAAATTACAAGTTTTGCTTGCTGACAAGAATCTTTACTTGCCTGCAACTCGTGCATCTAACGCAATTGTCCTTAAGGTTGATGTACCTGAAAATGCTACTGAGGAACAAAAAAAGAAATGTTTACGTGTTCAAGATGTTCAACAGCATCGCACTGAAATACGTAAGTCTAATAATAGTTCGGGTTAAAAATGTTAGTTAAAAATTTGGTCATTTAGTTATTACTTTGATGTAATGTATTTTGGAATTATAGTATAGTATTAACGAAAATGTTCTTTTTAGTCAATTGTATTTTTGGCTGACCATACAGCTGTTTCGAGTATTGCGAAGTACCGTACCTCTCATCTGTGGTTTTTTTGAAAATGTATCTTATATTTAATTATTCATAAATAATTTTTTAGACTGCGAGTATCAAGCGTTGAACTTGTACCCTATTGAATTTGAAACTCAGAGTCAGTGTTAATTAGTCCACTGGCCCGTACGTTAACTGTTCCTATACTATTCGTTCGTATAAATACAATGTTTTGTATAATATGCATAGTAATACAATATTGTACAAAGTAAAGTATGGTTTGAATTTATCATTTTTTAAGCTTTTTTTCTATTACATTAATCTTATATTGATCCATCTTTCTTGGGCCGTGTCTGTTTCTTGTTTAAATGAGGTTTATTCATAAATACCCCAAAACCTCAGCTAGCATAATTTATTTAATTTATAATTTATTCCATATAAAAAATAGTTTGTTTTATATATGCTTTAAAAGCTACAAGATGAAATCGGCTAACGTATAATATATTGGCAAAAAAATATTGACTTTTATAGTTTCGATTTACATTGTTTTATTAAAAAATTAATTTAATAGTAGGTCGACATTTATAGAAACCAAATACATATATATAAATACTGAAGTAAATATTTAAACACAGAAATTAAAAATTAAAGTATTTTAAATTCTTGTATTAGGTTTTCATGTTTTATTTATTTATATTTATTTAACTGTAAACCTTGTAACAATTTTGTTTGAAATATTTCAGATCTTGATGATAAGGTTAAGCTAGACATGGTTGTTATTGGTTCTGTTGTTGTATCGCGTGATGGTTATCGAATTGGACGTGGCAATGGTTTTGCTGACCTTGTAGTTGGTGTACTTATTGAAAGTGGTGCAATAACTCCAGAGACAATAATTGTTACACTCGTTCATGATATCCAGGTAAGATAAAGATGACACAACATAGTTAATAATTTAACTATAAAAATATATTCTTGACAAAACAATAACCAATCACAATAGGTTGTTGAAAAAAATAAGAATGATATAATAAGGTATTTTAATTGTTGCTTTAAATTGTTGCATTCGATAAGTTATATTATAGTTATTTTAGTTAGTTTTCTTATCATAGTAGTTGATAACTTATTTAACAATGTACGATACTCCATATTTATTCGTAAAACATAAGTATATACAGTTTTTTTGTTTTAAACATTATAATAAACCACAATTATTTTTAAATTGTATTCCTATATTCATATATAAACTAATTTCAATTATAAAATAAATTTTATTTCCTAACTTGAAAGGAATTCGGCTATATTTATACAATATACATAAAATTTTAGAGTCAAAAGTTGTGACTCTAAAGATTCTTACAAATCTTTTACCAGCAGATGCCACGCCTTGTAAGTTTGTTTAGTTCCAGTCAGATATTCGATATGTGATACTGAGTTTCGACTTGAAATAATTTCTGATTATATACTTTGTAATGTTATATAGAGTATAAAGTATATATATGCTACTAGTTGGTAAATCTACTGGTGTAAATACTAAGAATATTTCTTTAATAGTGAGCAAAGAAATATTTGCTCTAATAGTGAGCAAATAGTAGTAACTAAAAATAATTATTTTAAATAATATTAATA